AAGTTATACAAGTCGTGGAAAAAAAGTAGGTAATAATAAATGTATATTTTTATTATTTGTAAGTTCGTTAAATACCAGAAGAATAATTAACAGTTACTAATCTTTAATAATTAACGATTTATGAAAATAATGTATAAACTCTAATTGTGACAAATTGAACCTGCAAAGAAAAAAGTAATTACGATTTTTATTATTTTTTTATTTTTTATTGTTTTATTTCTTTATTATTATTTAATTTTATTATTATTATTTTATTTCTAAATGAATATTAGTCAATTTAGCGATACGTTGCAAATAATGTTGTGCAATAAAAGGATAAGTCACGGAGAGCAAAATGTTTTTTTCGTTTCTCTGTATAGATAGATTATAGATTGTAGATTATAAATTCTATAGACTTTAAAAGTACTGTATATCGAATCATTTATTAAGACGGCAAGATGACAAATCAAACTTAAAATCTTTTCTCTATTATGTGTTTTATATAAAAATTATAATTCTTTTTTTTAAGAAAAATTCATACTTTATAAATAACTTTGTAGATTAATCTAGAAATCGTGTTTACACTTTAGCATAACATTAATCTTAATTGGGAAAATCAGATTAATTATTTAATTAAATTACGTCTATAATTAATAATATTATCACACGATGTATAATTGCATTTATAAGGCCGGTTAATATTTGTGTCAAGTTTTTAATAACACTTTCCATTCCTGTAATTTTTACTATTCTCTTTCTATATTATGAGAATCTTATCAGTATTTTAGAATTTTACTGCAAACATATGCATTCGTATAAAACAGTATTAAAAACTTTGCTCTATTCGCAACATGCAACAATCTAATATTTCTTGAAAGTCGAACACAATGAGAACGATAACAATACTTCCATTAGTATCTCATTGAATATTGTCAAAAACAATGACGCGTTTATAGTATGTAATTATTGTCTTTGTCTGTTGTATTGTCGATATCGTCTCTCTAAAATCGATCTAATATTTCCTTGTGCAAATTTTCTAATTTCTCTCATCTCGCCAATTCTTTTTGTTCGTCAAGCTTGTCGCGCTAGCAAGAAAGTAAGCCGTGTATATTCTTTCTTCGTGCAGTGCACGATTTACCCTCTAATTTTTTCCAGGGAGAATGTACTGTGCGAATGAGGCATTTTAGTGAAAGTCTGGGCGTGAAGATTAGGGAGAGTACTGTTTCGGACAGCGTGAGAGGGAGAATGAGATAGAGAGAGAGAGAGAGAGAGAGAGAGAGAGAGAGAGAAAGAGCTCTTCGCGCGCGCGCGCGCGCGATGTCAGATTACAAGTTCTTTTTAGAAACAAGTAAGGAGTCAATTGTTCATAATTAACGTGAAAAAAAAACGTGCGCATCTTTCGACCATCAGTCAATCGAAATCGTCGATACACAATTATAATTAAGTCAGGACGAGATCATTTAGCTAATTGTAGAAATTTGAGTACTCACACACGTACTGACACGTGTACCAAGAAAAAACGGCGCGTACAGATCATACTCGTATACATATTTATGCGAAGAAGAAAAGAAAAATATTGATAATAGCAAACTATATATAGAGAGAGCATTAAGTAATAAATTTTATCGTGTCGTGCCAGGTAAGTCGGTAGTAGTTTCATGAGGCCTAGCGCAAGAAAGAGATATAATACAAAAAAAAAGACGCGAGAGAAACTTTTGGATGACAGGCCGCGTCGTCGCATTTTCCATCCGGATGAGAATCGCAAAACTACGCTCGAGACTGAGTATCTCAAAACATCATGATTAAACAATCAAATTGCCATAAAACAAAGCGTTGCACGCAAACGCGAGAAGCAGCTTTCGCGAAAAACCGATTGCTCTTGTTTCCACGCGTCGGCGACGGTACGATCGCATGAAGTGTAATCCCCCGCGAAATCCGAATTCGCGAAATCGCGTTGGCCCGATTGAGTTTGATTTTCGACATTTAAAAAAATATACCGGCCACAGCGCGAATTAGAAAGAGAAAAAGTGAACGAGACATAGATGACGCAATCGATTTTTAAAACATTGACGAGGGATGACTGCGCCGTGTCTTCATATTTTTAACGGCATTCTTATATAAATGGCAAAAGATACCCAAAGGATTTATTTATCACAAGGAATTTTTGTTTGAATCATCGAGAGACGAAATTAAGGGATTTTTTTTCGAGATCGTCCATTTACGAAATTTCTTTCGGCAATGTCACTCTAAATGAGAGGGAGAATGATTTCCCCCAAGCAGAGTAAAAGTCATGATGACATAAAAAAATGGCGTCAAAATAGCTTTAAAATTATTATAAAAGTCATTTTTCGATCAATCACGATTTATTTTATCATCATGTTATTGCGACCTGTTCTTCTGCTTGGATCCATTTAAAATTACAAAAATAGTAAGAGGTTTTAAAATAAAAAACGTTTTTAGGAAGTAAATGATCGATATAGATCGAGGAATACGGCAGAGGTGATTAAGTGTGAGAATTGTTTTAATTAGAGAAGTTGAACTATCATTTTTCCATATATTGCTCACGTAATGTTAAGTAAATATTTTATCTTTTGCAAAGAGGTATTCCGATTGTTGCTACGCTCGGTGCGCACGATGCTTACCGAACGTCGCGACGAAATATTCGCGTGTACAGTAGTTTATGCCTGTATAAATTCTATATCCTGTTTTCTCGATATAATTTCGCTCGCATAGACGTGAATTCGCGCGCTCTGCGAGAGATCTCCGCTGGGAGCTGCGCGGGTTAATGAAAATCGGTTTTTCAGGGCATTTCTCAAACGACTTTTGACTGTCAAATTTTACTCACCCTTGCAGCTTCCACGGGTTTGTGGTTATTCGATATTCGCGGCAGCGTTACAGGCAGCGTTCACAGGTACAAACGCGTATCCGCCAAGTGTAAGCCAGTACTTCGAGATGTATCTTCTAATTTAAATGGATATATAAATATATTCGGAGCATTCGCACAATGTAAGCTGTATATGCAACGTTCCGTATATCGCGCGCTGCAATTATCCGTCATTGGTAGCAGCATAGCGAATATATATCAGGTAGAAACGGGAAAATAGGGAGAAACCGCGATCGATGAAAGATAGACAGTAATTAAAAAAAAAAAAAAAAATCAGGATCGGAGAGTATCGATCATCCGAGCTTCGAAGTCAATGCGTTTGACGTCTAGAACAAGTGTGTTATATATAAATATGAATATTATAAATACATATTATAAAATTTAGATTTATATATATATATAAATATATATGTAAAAGAAAATATTATGTATAGAGAAATGGATAACGGCGGGACGTGGAGAGGCACAGATATCAATTACGTCGTTATAACTTTTCCTTCAAACACGAAAAAGTCGTAATTAATATAATTTTATTGTGTCATTATTATCGTTGATGTTAATTATTATCGATTAAATGTTATCAGGCGGCGCTATCATTGACAACCTGTCGCTTTTGTTATTCGAATCACCGTTGCGATCTATTTACGCCTATCGGCGGTTTCAGTTGTTGTGGCTTAAGTACGTGGGAAACGGACGAAGCTATAATCGACCAGCTGTCAATTAATTTCGGACGAGCCTGCTGCAACACGTCGAGATTCGTTTTGCTGTGATAATGAATCATAACAAAGCGCGATCCACCTTGAGCTTAAATTGTCCGCAAAGAATGCACGGTTGCGACCGTAGCAATTTTTCGCGATGCAAAGAGAATTAAGAATAAATCTCAGTCCAGTAAAAGTAGATCAGCGTAAAAGTTTAATACCCAGGTAAAACGGAGTCATAATTAAGTCATAATGGTATCACAGGACGTCATCATGACGTCATTTGATACCTAAAAATTGACTTATAAATGACGAATGAGATCATGATGATGTCCTCACACATGACTTCTGTGTTCTACTTGGGTACTCATATGAAACTAAAGAGTAAGATTGAGATTTGATTGGAAAAAATTTTTTTAATAAGAAAAAAAGAAAAACCAAACTGGAAAAAGAGTCTAGTTGCATTAATTGGAATTGCTGAAAAATGAACAAATCAGAATTTTCTGGTTAAATTCATGATAATTCTAATTAAGATAATCAGATTTCTGATTGACATTATTAGATTCTTCTGGTTCGTTCATTTTCAATTAGAAATTTTTCTCAACGCAATCTCAAATTTAGTGAACTTTGATTAGTCAAATTCCAATTCAATCTGAATCTCAATCTCTAGTCTGATACGAGCTCGACGTAATTTTGAAAATGAATACATCTAACGAGGCAACGTTGCGTTGCGTTGCGAATAACGTTTGCCTTTTCGAATTACCAGCTCCGTTTTTTTAGGAACAATTCAATCAAAGATTTAAGACTTACGAGGCGGAGTTTAAGTAAAATTTTAACATCGGTATTTTCCGCTCGTGTTCAAATCATTCTGTCTGATGTTTCTTGAACGCGATTGAAATGTTGAAAGTACGCTTCGTCCTGATTGTCATATCGTGTAGGTGCAACAGGTGTTATATGTAGTAGTTTCGTGATTTTATTATTGGACATTTTACATTGATTCTTAATCAGGCTCTCTCATCGGTTACTCAACTGTAAGGAGCTGCGCCAGATTTTTTCCTTTAAGTCTTACTATTTAATATATCTCATTTATATACACTTAACATTACTTCTCATGCTATACCAATCTCCATGACGATGGCGGCGATGGCGACGACGATGCTGATTTTGATTATCCTTTATCCTTAGTATCGATCGTATACGTGTACTACTCCGTTGTATTGTCCGACAGCATCCTGCATTATTTTGTAAAGAAGAATAAAAATATCTTGACAAACGCAAAAGAAGGGAGTCCCCAATCCAATTTAATTATTTCAGATCGTTCGAGCTTTTTATTCCAGCCACTGAGAAAAAATTCTGATTGAAAATGAATGAATCAGAAAACTCTGATCATATCAATCTGAATTCTGGTTACCTTAACCAGAATTATAATAGATTCAACCAGAAAATTCTGATTGTCTCTATTTTCTACAAGAATTCCAATTAATACAATCAGACTCTTTTAGCTTTCCGTGGATCGTTCATTTTCCAGGCTATTTCTAAGATGTCTACAGAACGTTGTAAGTGACATAGTGGAGAGGCGTCGACGGTACGTATTTGATGATGCTCGACTGCAAGGAACTTAGCGGAATCATGCTCAGCGGTGCGATCGACAAAGGATTGACGGTGCGAATTTGTTCGGTCGTACTAGTCGGGCGTTGCGACAGTTGCTTTTTCTTCGGCGTCTCTGCTCCCTTGGTCGAAATCACCGTTCCGCTCTTCAAGGCCGTTGCCGCTGGCGTGATTACACCGGAAGCACCTGCGGAGAAGAATGGCGAGACAATCATTTTTATTGTACGTCGATTTTCTCACAAGATCTCTCATTTCTAGTTCTACCCTTTATAATTTACTGCAATTTGCACGGTATGATTTGTTGCAAAACTAATTTATGGTACCAACGAACGAGTTTATGAACCGGTCGCAATCGCAGAGGGAGAGGAGTGACCTTAAAACGGTCTTCGGTCCCGGAAATTGGACGACCTTCGAAAGAACGGCGGAAAAAAGTATAAATGAAAGAACAATCTTGATAAAATCGTATTTTTTAATTTTTTGATAGAAAAGGAATAAAAATACAGCATAGTTATAAGCTTTCTTGACTATTAAAAAAAATCATTTAAAAAATTTAAATTGCAAAATAATTTTAAGAAATAGCACCACGTTGAGAAAAAACATAAATAAAAAAAATTTGCATTTTTGAAAGAGTAAAAGTAAATCGACTGTAAAGACTAATATATTATACTAAAAAGACTAAAGTCAGTGGAACTCTACAATGGAAAGTTATTCAGAATGGTTGACAATTTAAACTAATTAACAATTAAGTTTATTATCAGTGTTTTAATAATTTAAGTTTTTACCTAATTAAAAGACTATCCTAATTAAAATTGTTTCAATTCAGAATTTTAAAAATGCTCTATTGAAAAGTTGCTAATTTCGAGATATGTATCTTGTCTATCAACGTGACGATGTGTATAGAATTGTAGTGGAGCATTATATCGAGCAAAAAATTTCAAGTACTTAACGAAAATAGCCCACGGCGACTTGATATTTACAATCAGAACAGAAGAGAGAGTGAACGGTAAGGTGAGTTATAATCATAATGACCTTGAGTGATCGATGACTCCGATATGACGGAAGGCTCCAGCTCGTAGTTTCCATAGGAGATCCGAAATACCGGCACCGCCTGTTGTCTTGACACCTGAGATAGCGGCACGTACGAGTAGATTAATGGGACCGCTGGGATATTTGGACCGTCAATAATTTCCTGTGATAATCTTCCAACAAATTCCTGCAGATCATATCACAAAAAATGTCGCTGAAGCGAGAATTTTGGAGCAGAATATTTTGAAACATTTTCTATCCCGGGCATTCCATCCGATTTAAGAATATACAAAATTTTTATGAGAACCGAAAAGTTTACTAAAAATATCGTTTAAGGTTACATTTAAAAAAGTGTATAATCTCTGCAAAAAAGTGATTAAAATTGGAAATGTATGCTTTCTGTGTAAAAATGAATATTACATATGTATGTATGAAAGTTCAATAAGATCAATATTTATATTTGATAATACAATTTTATAATTTAAATGAAAATTTTAATTTTCATTTCATTTTAATTACTATTTAAAAACATATCTACTTCTTAATGAAATAATTTTTCATCCAAGTTATAAATAGTGTCAAACTTCTAGTATTACTTTTAAATATACATAAAAAATCTATAGCTTTATCATAACTTTTTCAATTTGTTAAAAAATACATGTAATTAAATAATTATTCTTAAAAGTTTATTATAATTCTTGTTTACTTATTGCCATCTTAAATTGTGATGTCAACAGCAGAAAATATATAAAAAATTATTACAAAATACGTTAAAATATAAATATTTTTTACTAAAACAACATTTGATAGAATATTTTGCAAAATATCAAAAAACACCTCTTGTGTTTCGATAATCAATAAATGGGTCTGTTTTTTTTAGCTGAACTTTCGTTTATATTTTCTCTTTTTTTCTTCAATGTGGACAGATGAACCGTGTAAAAAGCATGCACTTAGCTGAAAAGAATAGGCCTCATATATTTAGAATTGTGCTTCGAAAATGAATCAAACTATATAACAGCTGTCAAACTCTGGAACAAATTTATTTTTAATAATTTTATTTTATTCCAAAATAAAAGGAGAGTTTTTGGTATATTTTACAAGTGTGTTCTATTAAACAGAAATATGTTGTTTAATTTAAAAAATATTTATATTTCAATATTTTTTGCAAGAATTTTCTTTATGTTTTTTCTTGCTTCGAACGTCACAATATGATTGTAGAGAATAAGCAGAAGCTTACATTTTGTAAGCCTATTGTCTTTGACATTTCATGATTGACATACCTTTTGCGTGCTCTTTTCGCTTACTTTGTCAATGCCGCTTTTCGAAGCAATTGCCTGTAGAGTCTCGTCGCTGTCCTTCGGCTCGATATTCTTCGCGTTCTCCAACGCTTTTCGCTCCCCTTCGTTCAATGCAATTTTTGTGATCGTAGCTTCCAACTGTCCTAGCTTCCTATGGAGACCCGCATCACCTTGATCTCCCACGATTTTCTTCTCGAGCGCATTCTCCCGATTCTCTTCACGATGCTGAGCCTCTTCGTCCCTCTTGAGTGCCAGTTCCAAGGCTTGAAGATGGGCGGTGCGCGCAGCCATCACCTCCGGTGTGTCTTGGACCGGAAGCGGTGCCTGCGGGAGATTCGTCGCGATTACTTGGAATCCCTTCTCGCCGTCGGCAAAGTATTGCGCGGTCTGGATGACACCGGTTCCGTCGACGTAGCTGTAAGTGCCTCTGGTCGCACCGTTGGACATTCTGACCTCCGACCTGGCTGATCCTGGCGCACTGTAGCCGAAACTGTATTGGCCCAGGCTGTCTTGATAGCTTAGGAACACCGGTGGCTTAGCAAAGCCGGTGCTCATCAAACAGCAGACAATAAAAAGCTGAAAATGAGATCAACTTATATTTCACATATTTTTCTTTGCGGTTTGTGAGACCTGTCGTAGATTAGTATCGCCGGATGACATTACGACGTGATAAGCATCAATAATTTACTTTGTGAGAGTGGCTTAAGTTAAATTCCCGTTGTACCAAGAGAATCAGTTGTGAAATATAAGTGTTTAAGAATATTTTTTTAAAATAATTTTTAATTTAATATAATTTTACTGTATAAAGTAAAAAATACAAATTTATTTGTTTTTTCTAGACAGAGAAAATAGAATGTTTTAATAGGAAAATTAAACATTAATTCCTAATGATTTGATCCAAACAATTTTTCGTAAAGATAATTCCGACACGCGAAGTTAAACTCAACCAAGGATCAAGAGTAAAATCAATGAGTTTAACAAGGAGAGGATCAGAAGTGAAAACGCGTTTGTGAAATGCGATTTGTTACAAAAAAATCTTTGTATCCATCTCAAAAATCCGAACACTGGTTTTAGACATTTCTTAGTCTTTTTTCCAAAAATTAACAATAAATATAAAAATCTTAAAATTTTCTGAAAGATTAAGTAATATAGTTCAGATTAATACGTTTTTACCATTGTCTCCACACTAAAGCGAATAGCAGCATTGGCTAATACTCAGACCAGGTTCGCATTAATTCAAAATATATTTATATCGCTCAGATATTAAAAAAAAATTCGTTTGGAAATATTGTAATACTTAACTCTTTTTTTTTTAAGATCTATTATTCTGTCAAGTAGTTAATTATTTGCATGACTGTCAAATTTTTATATTTATTGTTAATTTTTGAAGAACTAAGAGATGTTTGAAGCTAGGATTTGAAGCTAAAATTTGAGGTTTTTAATATAAACATAATCTTTTGCAATAAATCGTATTTTAAAAGCGTGTTTCCACTTCTGGCTTTTCCTTGATAAGCCGGTATTCATAATTGGTATACTGAGAAAAATTTCTGTGGTTGAAAATAAACAAACCAAAAAATTCTAATCACAGAAATCAGAATTCTGATCATCTATCTCAAGAATTCCAGAATTATAATATATTCAACTAGAAAATTCTGATTTATCCATTTTCAATCAGAATTCCGATTAATGCAGCCCGATTCTTTTTCTATTGTAGTTTTTATATTTGAGACCGTCTTCGGAACAGTCTTAAGATGTAATAAACCAATCACAGAGCCGTATTAGCATCTTAAGACATTACTTAAGACAATCTTGAAATAAGAATGGATTATGAATACCGCAGCCTTAGAATCACGATCCTCCCACGCGAGGAATCGGATGAGCACTTACGAATGCGTTTTTCATGGTGATCGTATCGACGGCACCGGTATATCCTCGATGCCAGGATACGTTTATATAGGCACGCAGTCGCATGCAACCACGCCCTGTGGCGTCTTGATGTTGCCCTCCTGCGTCCTCTTCCTCTTTCCACGAAGCCGCGACGAAATTCGCGAAATCGTTATCGTGGACCACCGCGGCGAGAACTGGTCACGCGAGTGGTTCCTTCGAGGTCGCGATCTTCGGAATCCGGCTTCGCGGATGCTTACTTTCCACCCGAGAGAGCGCCAGACGATGCTTTTTTTCGAGCTGGGATCCGCCCGGCTATGCCCTAATACGTCGATCTTCAGGGTCGCGTATAACATCGCGCGAGCGTTATTGTATAGGGGGTTGTTGAGCCGGGATCTCGACGAGGAGAATACCACGGATTATTGCTAATTTATTCGTTCAATTACCTCGATCGTATATCGAACGGAACGCTTCTCGATGGCGAGGACATCTCGCTGATGCCGATTGGTTGTCCCCAGGGGTGCAAAATCTTTCTGCTTCACGCGAGAATCTGTCATACAATCTTATAGAGACTAATAAAATATGGAAAATTTTGTTGTCATCTTGCATTTGCGTTTTATCGAAAGGAGTTGAATAGCTTAACGTGTAAAGTATGAGCGGATTAAGTAAAGTATCATATTCATGTAAGATAACAAATTTATTCCTTTATAATATATTGGCTTTATGTGGGTGTATAAATATATATTATTTATTTTTATGTGTTTAGTACAGAATACATATAAGTTTGGAGTGATAATAATAATTCTCACGCAAAACAGATGATTATATGTTATTCTATTCCTGTACTATCGATTTTTTTTCATTTTTTATCGGAAAGAATTCCTTAATGCAGTCTCCAACAGATCTACAAATACACGGAAAGAACGATTTTTTCTAAAAATTTGGCTAGACATAAATTTAAAAATAATTTTATTTTACTATCAAAATAATTATGTAGGGGCAATGTTGCAAAAAATTTTGATATTCTGCCATGTCGTTTTATAATATCATTGAAAAAATATACCAAATTTTAATAAATATTTCAATAGTAACTATTTACTACATGTATAATAAAAATATATTTATTGGTACAAAAAACATTAATTTGATTTAACTCTATTTATTTTCTTTATTGAGTAAATATTTACTGTAATTAATTAGTACTATTGAAATAAATATTTATTAAAATTTAGTACATTTTTTCTCAATATAAGACATTCTATTAAGTATTTTGAGTATCTGTAATTATTTTGATGACCCAACAAAATTATTTTCACATCTGTATTTATATAGCTAAATTTTTAGAATACTTTAGAAAAACTGTTCTTTCTGTATAGTTTACTATTATTATTTGAAATTCCGCAATTATTTCATACATAGTTATGCATAAGTACATTAAAAAAAGCGATATATGTAAATGCAAATGTTACTTGTGCCATTTTCCTTATTAATTATAAAAAAATAATATATAATAGATAGTTTATTTTCTATGAATAAAATTTTATTTCGCCATATTTGAATAAGGATTTATTTCAGTAAAATAAACATTATATCCTACAAATAAATTTTGAAGTATCTTTTTCTCAGCATAAACTGTATTTTCTTTAAGCAGCAAAACCTTTCTTAGTAAACTAATCTGCCGTAAGCAAGCGCCCTTCCAGCGACAGCTAAAGCATCGACAGATTTCACGTCGTTTGCCAAATTCTGGTCTCCACGCGTAGCCACTTCCGGCACGTCCAACGGCCTGCCATCGGGACTGATGGGTACCAGAGTAGCGACGACATTGTTGCCAAGCACCAATGGCACTACACGACCGTTCACGGCACTTGGGAGAGCATCGCCGGATCTCGCAGCCTTGTTCATCGGGAAGATCTTTCCGTTGGCACGCGCGACTTTCGGTGCGTTCAGGATGCTACTGTCGGGATGTCTGTCGACGTCAGACGAATCCAGTGCACCACCGCTGGACCTCGCAATCTCGTTCGCCAGGTTGATTCTCTCGTGGACATGCGCTGCCGCGTGAGCCACTTTCGCAGCCGCGACTTCCGGCGTATCCATGACTCTGCCGTCTGTGCCAAGAGGCGCGGAAGACATTAACATCAGTGGCGTATTATCACGAAAAAGCGATTGTCGTTCTCGTAGCAATTGGGATCCAACGGTTGATCTGTCAATCCCATTCGCCAACCCTGTCCTCTCGTCAATGTGCGCGGCTGCAACTTCCGGTCCACCGTTGATATCAACTTGCATATCGGACGTCAGGGCAGTCAGAGGTGTCGCGTATACCAATGGTACAGACAGAAAAGTGGGTTTGGCTGAGACCAGGCTGGTCAAACCGAGTAGTACGATCGCGAATAGTGTCATCTCTTGCTTTGCTCAGTTACGCCGGAAATGGTGGTCCCACGCAATCGTAAACGACAAATAGAGTAACGTCGCGGGATGCACTCGATGACTCGTACCGACGCAATTGTCGTGGTCGCCTTTATAGTCCTCCTAGATTACGTAATAGGACAATCGCGTAGGAGGATGCAAAGGGAGAGGTCTCGATTTGAAAAACTTGCGTGCGGTCGACTGCTACCGTTTCGCTCGGTAAGATAAGCCTGTTTGTAAAGCGAGAGTTTACGTTGGATAAGAAGAGATGAGGGACGCAATGGTGAACGACGAGATGAAACGGAGAGGGATTTTCTTTCCGTTTCTTTCTTACGAGGTCAAGAAGACACACGATCCCGTTTTCATTTCTCCGCAAGATCGACCGTGATCTAGAAGGTCACGCCTGCGACGGAGACTGGCATCGATCGCGTAATCAGGTTCTAGAACGGGCTTATTGTCGTTTCTGCTCGGTTAGGTAAGAATGCCTACCTGTCTGTCGTATTACTTGATCCTTAATTAGTTCGACGAAAACAAATTTGTTAATCAATATTCATTCATTACATTTCTGCGACTATCTTTTAATTAGTCCAGTGATTATAGATTTTGAGAGACTCATATTATATCTTTAAATACGTATCTCTTAAAATCTTAAAGTCTTAAGAAAAAAGGAAAAATAAATTTACTATTATTTAGCCAAACACTCCCAGTATGATAAAGAAAAAAAATGCGCAAAATATGAATAACCCAATCGTGTATATACTAAAAGTTACATAATTTTTACATATATACTTTAACATTTTTAGAAAGTATTTGTAAATTTGTGTATTAAAAAAAAAGAAAAGGATAGAGACCATTATTTTACCGAGAGCTCCTAATTGTTTTAAAGAAAAGAAACGCGCAGAGCACGAAATCCATCATACGTACTAAGGATTAAGAAATGAAATTAAAATAAGAATAAGAATAAGAATGAATTCCATTTTTAAGAAGATAAAAGAATTTGTCTTATACATGACAAAATTAATTTAATTAATTTAATCAATTACGTAATTATATAAAATTATCGTGATGTGTAAAACCAAAATTAAAAATTTTTTCTTCGTGAAAACAGTATGCGGAGAAGGATTAAATATCTGCGTTAGCATTTAACAATTAAATCCAAAAATAATGTCCATTTCTATTAATGTAAATTAACTTTAATCTTGGTTTAACATGATCTTCGTCCTTTTTGAATTCTTAGAATTTAGGAAAGATGAAGAGTTAGTTGGACCAAGATTAAAATTAAACTACATTGGTAGAAACGGACATAAAACGGAAAGAAAATCAGTTATGACAAACTAACAAGGATAAAAAGAAGGCGAACGCCACAAATCGCTCGATCGATCGTTTTTTAAGTTTTGATTAATCGAGTCGGTAGGGGAACCAATTTAGATGGGCGTTGTGAGAACCAACAAAGCCGATACGATTCGTAATTATGTGAACGGGAGTAAAAATGGACGTCAATGTCAAATACATGACGGCTTTTATTGGAAATTGGTGTTTACGTTGTGATGGCATACATCCTGGTAGTGGTACCTGGTTCGGCACAAAGCCTCTTTTACCCACGAGGTATATAAAGCCGCATATACGGGGTAGTACACGACATATTAGCCGAGTACCTTGGCGAGTACTGATCTTGATCGGCAGCGCTAAGGAGCTGAGTAATTTCATTCAACATGAAGGTTTTGGTGAGTATCGATAAAGAGCTTTTGTAAAGAATATCGTACTTAGGTTACTGTGACTTTTTAATTATTTTTTATTATTTTACATTATGTATTTTTTATTACTATACATTGTCGATCGTGATAAATGACAGAAACCGATTGATTTACGAATTGCATTTCTCTCAATTTTTATTATATATAAGTAAGCTTTTCTCTATACTTTGTGGATTCATTTATATGATGATTTGTTTCTAATTTATTATTGTTTTTTAATATAAATTCTATATTTCTTGCTCTCAGGAATTATGATAATTATATGTTCTTAACTTCTATAAAAATGTATTCATGTTACTGTTACATTTGAAGTACAATCTAATGCAATTTAATAAAAGAAATGCATAAGCTAGAATTAACCAAACTAATATTTAAAAAATTTCTGAATTTCATTAAATCTTCGGATTTGACAATGTCATATTCAATATAATCAATTATAAATCTCTTTGTCAAAAATATCAAATAATTCAATTTTTTTTATACTATATATAAATTCAAATTATTCTTGAAATTTACTTACTATTCTTTCTTTTTTTTATCTCATATCGGTTTCTTAAATTGGTTATTAATTTAATTAACATAAATAAATGAAGCTTACAACGTCACTAAGAGTGTGTATAGATTTTTCAGTTCCGGAGAGGGTTAAATAAATATATATTTAAAAAATACATTATACAACATAATTTTTTTCCAGATTGTTCTATCCGCCATCTTGGCTTGCGCCTTCGCTACTTCGCCATTGGTTTATGCCAAATTGGTGCCCGGTGCTCCAATCGGCTTTGATGGCCGAGTGATCGACACCGCGGATGTCACGTTGGCCAAGGCCGAGCACGCGGCCGCTCATATCAACGAGAAGATTAATTTGGCTGCGGAAGCTGCCAGGTCAGCCGACCAGCACGTGCTCGCTTATGTAGCACCGTCCAACGTAGCCGTAGTCGACAGCAACGCGCAGCTGGTGCAACCGGTTCCGGTGACGGCGAAACTGGCCTCTGGTGCGCCGATCGGGCTCGACGGCCGCGTCATCGACACGCCGGAAGTGGCCCTCGCCAAGGCAGAACATGCGGCAGCGCACATCAACCACTTCAACGAGAAGCTTGGCTACGAAGCCGCGAAATCGATTTACCAAGAGCAACCGGCCATCATCCTGGATCGTAGCGCACCGTTCCTTCGTTATTACTTTCGTTGAATCAAGTTTGCTAATACATACAGACTCATATATATATATATAAAGTGTAAATAAATCTGAATTCCCTGCGTGCTTTAATCCACTGGTTGATTTATTTTAATTACCTTCCTGTTGTAAATTAAGATCAGCAGTTTTGCGAGATGTTCTCGTAAGATAATTTCTTGTAAACAAATTTTAATTGCCAATATCATTAATTTCTTAATTTCTTTTTTATATTCTTACAGATTTAATATTACTAATTACGAAGAGAACATATTTTTCAGTTTTGAGTTTCAAATGAAGTTTGAAAGGATTGTGTAGAAATCTCGTTCGCCTGTTAGAATGCAATATAGCTAGCGATAAGTGCAATGGGAATGCGTTCTAACAGGCGCGCCTAATATAAAGAGATTGACAAAAGAATGATAAACATGTATTATGTTACAAATATTTTTATTGCAATGCGTTTGATGATTTAGGATTTAAAAAAAGTATTACTTCAATATTTAGAACAGTAATTAAATGTAAACTTGTATAATTTTTATTTTTCACAAACATGACTATAGATTGTCGCAGAATACAAGAAATATTTCTAATAGCAAATTCAGTTTTGTCATTACGATTATTTACATTACACAGATTATACTAAAACAGTGCATACTATCAAATATAAAACGGATTAATAGGAGAGCTTTTAAAAGGATTTTTATTTATTCTATAGGTGAAAATAAACATAAAATAATTTTTTCATCCACTGAAAACACTAAATAATGATAAAAAGAAACAAATTATTAAAATTTAAAGAAATTGTGTATCAGGCTTTACTCTAATAATATGTAATGAAATGTGCCATAACATGTAAATCATACGTGTGTTTTATTATTGATAAAATGGCGATTCCATCGGAGTTCAGTTTTCACTTTAGTATTAATACTGGCCAATTTAAAACTGAAAATTATTTATTTTCAGTATAAAAATCTCTCTTGTTGAATGCTTTTAATACTTAAAATTGATAATTAATACTTCTATATTAAATTTTTGTGAAGGCTAAGTACAAAGCACCCTCAATTTTGCATTTGGCTAGGTAATAAAAATCAAAGGAGGACAACAAAATATCAAAATTGTTAAAAATAAATATAATTTTTCAATAAAACTATTTTAATTTTTGAAACTTTCTAGATTTGAAATATATATAAACTTTTTAAATATATTTTTCGTTAGATATAGACGATGTCAATTTGTGAGAGTATTTTGTGTGTATAGCCAACAAATGCGTCTTGTAATTCTGTATGTTACTGTAAGAACACGTAATTCTGCCGATAATAATGGCACAACAACCAAGACTACGACGATAATAAGAGACTTGTTGCGTACGATTTTCGGTCGCTTCTCGCACAGTTGATTTTTTAGGTCATCAGAGGTTTTAGGCGCTAAGTGATCTAACGTAACGTCGCCGGCAGGAGGCCAGCGTGGGTTTGCAATCGGTGGGTTTTGTCGCGAGCGCATAGTTGGAAAAAAGAGCAAGAACCACCGCCCGCTTTCTCGTATTACATTAGTTACTTTACACACACGCGATTACAGTGACGTTTCGCGATACTCTCTTGCCATTTCACGGAATCACGCGATACGAAGATTTGCCCAATCTCTGAGAGAACAAAAATGTTCCTATCCTTCAGTTCGACTTGCTGTCGAGTCTGTTCAGTTTGGAATGCGTCTCACGGGACAGGGCAGAGGTGTTGACATTGAACGCGGTAAACGGTCGCTTACTGTCGCTTTCGTATCGTATCAACGTGCAGCGCTTGGTGAGCGAACGGCTCAGGGGTGGTCGATAGATCACTCATCGATCCGATCGAACGAATAGCGATGAAGATGGATAAGATGTGATAGTAGAGCAACGGCGAGGAAAGGCGCAGCCACATACGATGATAGTAACACGTCACTTTGCTTGTCTACGTTTGTTTGCTTGCACGTTGCAGCGTGGGCTTGTCAAAGGTGTTCACGTTGCGATAGTGTCAAAGGTGTTCACGCGGCATGTGCGTGAGCACCGTATGCGTTTAATATATATTCATTTAAAAAATATGTATTAAATTTTAATAAATCATTTTTTAATATAGTACCAGTTAAATATTTACTAAGTATGAAGATATATTTATTTGGTACAAGAATTATTTATTCAATGAGTTAAATCATTAATTTGATCTAAGTATCATTTTTTAATGAGTAAATGTTTACTGTAGATATATATTTAATAGATACACTATTCAAATATATATATGTATATATGTATATAAATATTTATTAAAACTTAATACATTTTTTCTTAGTGTCAATATATACAAGTATTTCTTAGCAAAATATACAAAAATCGGATCAATATGTTGAACTAGTTAATCCGGGAGTAATTATCTGATTTTTTTTTGCGTAAATGACCATCTGGGATATTTTTATATCCCAATTAAAATTATTATTATTATTAGCATATTGTATATTATTGATTGTTTTCCGATTTATTAGTACTTGAGAAAATTTTCTCAAATGGATATAAATTCAATCACAACTTTTTCAAAAAGTACTGTTAGATATCAAAGGTGCAATGGCAATTTAATCCCTTGAATTATATAACATTTTGTTATTTTTAACTTCCATATGTGTCAAAATCTAAATCAATCCATTTCTATAGTTGTTTCAAAATAAACAACATATACATTCCATATTAATGTATACATTTGATAAATAAGCTAAATTTGAATCAAATTTAATACATTTCCTCGAGTTAAATTGTTTAACTCTATTGTTTTAGTTTAATTATCAATATATTGAGTAGGAATAGTGACGATCTATACAAATGATTAAAAATAATTCATATTAGATATAATTTGATATTATGAACTTAATAGTGTAGGAACTAAACAAATATTAAAATGTTATTTAAGTTCTTTTTAAATTATTCTATTTTATATTATTACGACTTAAAATCTCTTAGATTAATTTAATAAAGCCCACTTTAATATTAGTGCTATTTTCATCTCAGATGGAAAGAATGGCTTTTTACTGCTGAAATATTTAAACATTTATATAGATACAGATTTGAAAATGATTTTGTTGAACTATGAAAATAATTATATTGAATGAGCCGGAATGATCAAGCTTACTAGAATAAAAGAAAATCTTTTGCAGCATTATCATCATATCCTACGTAATTATTTCCAGATCTGCATCCAGTTAAACTTTTAGATATTACAACAAAATCGTTTTTTCCATAGTAATAATACCGAATTAAAAACTACGATACAAACTAATTATAATCATTTTAAAAGCAATTGTAATTGCTTTGCAGTCTTTATGCATGACAAATATGTTTGAAGAAATTAATTTTTGGTCACAGTAGGGTGTGAGTTTGAAGTAAATTTATGGCATAGATCGCAAAAATCCGTATACATCATAAATGCATTACGAGCAATGTGCTTTGTATTGTGAGAATGTATTCTTAATACAGTTCGTCCTTCGACTTCGAGTCCTTCATTTGCTCAGGGCTGGTGAGTCGTTTAGCGCCAATACACGCCTTTGTTGTTTCTTAGCACTGAGATCCCTTCTAGCTGTGACATGATTTAACCAGGATCACGAGGGAGTAAAAATACACGCTCTTTTATTCAATAAAAGAATGCCGGATTGACTTACGCAGCTTGGTAACAGGCAATTAATAACTCAATACTAATTGCTGAAAAATTCTAAGAAAAGAAATAAATATCGTAAAAAACGATTGGTGTAACCGAAATGTCTTTCAGTTTTAATTCAGCAAGTAAAAATTCTTTCTGCAAAGAATCGATATGATTTGAAATCTGTGAATTAAGGGCTGTAATCAAACTTTAATTAATTTAATCAACAATTAATTTAACTCTGAGAATCAAAACAGGATATACTCTCTAAAACTTTTAGAATGAATTGTTACTCTGAAGAATGAAATCTCGCTCTAAGGCCCAGTTTCATAATTCACAGTTAACTCTTAACCGAGATTCAATTTATTCTTCATCTATTTCCAATTCTAAAATTGAAAAGAGATGAAAAATAAATTGATCCTCGGTTAAGAATTAACCATGAGTTGTGAAACTGGGCCTTAAAGATTGAAAATTGAGCCATTCTTTTTTAAGACTTGCAATTATCATTCCTTAGAGTGAGATTCCACTCTAAAGAATTTGAAGTGTATAATTCATTGTTTTTAATCTTTTTTTATACATTAAACATAATTGATTAATTTAATATTTTTATTCGTATTATTCAATAATATATTATATAATGCTGTTTAAGTTAATCGAAGTTCAGTTGAAATCACCCTAAGGCCCATTTCTACCAATGTAGATTAACTTTAATCTTGGTTCAACTTACTCTTGATCTTTTTCTAAGAATTAGAAAAAGATGAAAATTTTGTTGAACCGAAATTAAAATTAAACTACATTGAAATAGATAGAAACAGGCATAAGGGCCACTTCATCCAACTCCGATTAACTTTAATCGATGATTAGATCCTTTGGAATTGATCAATCGCATTTGTCATTTCGCTTTACAACAGATGTGAATGGTCAATTCTAATGGATTAAATCATCGATTATCGGAGTAAAATTAATCGGAGTTGATCGAACTGATCCTAAGATGCAATTGAATGCATCATTATAGCTTCCTGATATGTTTCCGGTCATGGAGTGCAGAATCCGCATTTAAATGTCAAGGTCGCAATTGGCAAAAGACAGACAGCGAGAGAAAAAGAGAAAGAGAAGAGAATAGCCTTCCCTTTTCCGATCTTTCCGGCAAACTTCCCGGGTTATAGCCGATCACCTCTGGCTCCCCCCAGGTCGCTGGCGATCGAATGCACGTGGGAGGGGACAGACGAATGCGACTATAAATGGTACCAACCAGCCGTTCTCCAGGAACACAAAACAGCGAACCGACGCCCGGCCCGGGTCCCTCACTCCTGGGAGCGAATACTGACAGACAACAGCAGCGCTCTTTTTATCAGGAAGAAGGTGTGTGGGAGTTCAACGAAGGATACAACGCCCCTGGATCGTCATGAGAGGCCTGGTGAGTGATCCCGGGACA